GCTTTTATCAAAGAGGAAAATGTAAATAGAATATCGATATAATTATTTTATTATTATTTTAATTTTTAATTATTCATTTAATTTCTAATTATTCATTTAATTTTTTTACCCTTACAGAACTCTAATACCGGCCAATTTAATACTGAAAGATAGTAATAAATTAAGTATTTATTTTATGTATTGAAATCCTGTTCACTATTTTTAGTACACCAAATAAGTAAATAATTACGTTCTTTAATAATAAACCATTAATAATTGACCATTATTTTAATAATTGACCATTATTAGATTTCTACGAATATTACTTTGATTTTTATTACTTTAATTAAATTACTCTATACATACAATAACTTTTTGCTGAATCTATAACTGTCTTCTTTTGTGTCTATTTAAAAATTTGTCTGATAATTTCATGAACTATTTTTGAATAAACTATAAAATTGAAATGAATTATTGCATTAATCAATCAGTTTTTATAAATATTTACGTCTGTGGAAAAACAATATTCCAAATTATCTGTCTCACTTTCATTTTCATATTTATTTCTTAATTAAGTAATGTAATCTGTATTTTCACTAATCAATGTTTTCAGACTTGGATCTGTAAGGTCATCACGAGTCTGTGGCAATATTTCATTGTGGCAAATTATTCATGGACCTTGATGGAAGGATTGTATTTGCACAATCTAGTTTTCCTAGCGCTATGTACCGACAGCAGCACAATATCTCTGTATATCGCACTAGGATGGGGTGAAATAGAATAAACTTATTTAAAAATATTTTAAATGTAGAGCCTTAAATCGCAGTTTACTCACATTTCATTACATTAAATAGGTCTTCCTGTCTTGGTAGTAGTGCCATGGATTATATTTCGCGCGACTATTGAGGACACTCTCTGCTGGACCACTCATAACAATTCCTCACTGTTTCTCATCATAAGAATACCAATGATTATATGTATTTTAGTACGTCGATTGCATAATCATCATTTGAATAATGATCATTTGAATTGTGTGCATATTTAAACTAAGTATCTGTTTATTTCTTTCTTTCAGTTCAATTTTCTACTGTTCCTTAATATCGTTCGCGTTCTGCTGGTGAAGCTGAAGACATCGGTGCATCTGCAACGGAAAAAAATGAAATACAAGTTAACAATGAATACATAAATAGTTTTATTACATAATTCATCAATTTATACCGATTTTAAATTAATTTCATTATTTTCGATGTATAAGGAAGATATATATGGCCTTTTGATGGCCACAAATAGCTTAAAATCTAGTTTTGCATACGATCTTTTATTAGATGCCATGCGTTTATATTTATTTTAATTTTTAATGTAGGAGATGGGCGAAATCAACTCTAGTCTTGTTACCACTCTTCGGAATACATTATACAATTTACTTGGGGTTGTCCTACCATAAGGATTACCGGGTAGAACTCGTAGGGCTTTTTTGCGATCAGCTATTTGCATCCTTCCAGGTACTTATGACGCGAAGGACCTAAGCGTTTTGCATAATTTAAATCTCCCCGCACACACTTTGTGTTATTTATCTTTGTAGGGCGCCTTCGTGGCTTTTCTTTATTGTCTGCTAAACGGTGAAGTCAGAGCAGAAATGCATCGAGCGTGGAAAGCCCGACGATCAAAGAGGGAGGTCGATTCCTTTATCTCTGGACATACGAGAAATTCAAGAGATGGAATCAATCGAAAGCGGCTTGATCGGAGGACGACAATTTTACGATAACAGCCACGAAAAAATCGTCGGTGAAAAATATCAAGTAGATTCAATCAACTATTTAAACGTCGAACAAATTTTATTTATATATAATCTGTTTAAATATCTAAAAAAGTAAACGATTGAAAAAGTAATAGCGAATATCTGGAAATAAGAAAGTGAAATTATAAAGAGTTGACGTGTTGACAGGAATTAGATATTTTTAATAATAATGTGGACATATATTATGAATCTTATTGTGATTTTATTTTCTATAAATAAATGTACACTACATGTTCGAAATATTTCAGTGTACTTTACAAATAAATGTTTCTATGTGTATGTGTATGTGTATGTACATCTATATACTGTAATAATATGTATTAAATACATATAATGATAAAAGGAAAAGGAATAAATTAAGGAGTGGAAGGAATAAATTAAGGATCCACATATTTCTATGTAGGATTAAAAAGAATGATTTATTATTTTTAAAGAAATAATTTACTCTATGCTCGAATAATAATATCTACTGTAATACATAGATTTATTACTGAAGTTTTACATATCCCTTTTAATTTCTCAAGTTTATACATAATTAATAATAAAAGCTAATAATCATATATCTGCATTAATAATATATAAAAAATTTTAAATTTAGATATTAAAGATTAATAATATTTTTTAACACCGTTATCTTTTAAATGTAAATCACATTTATTAATATCATAAAAATTAACATACATAAATGTGTAATATGTTGGTACATTTATGTTAAATATAATTTCTTTTTTAATATAATATTAATAAAATTTAATAATATTTTATCGATTTATAATAACTGCGAAGTTTTTATAAAAACATGTGTTTGATGGAATGAAAGGGGAAAAAAGGGTTTTGGTCGTGAAAAGGATCATCATTGTACTAACGAAGTGTGAACTATCTCATGACACCCGAGACGCCTGATGGAACACATTAATCGGATGCATCGAGCAGGGCGTGTGCCACGTCCTTGATTGTTGCGGCGAGGATTGATCATGTTCACACATATTATACTCTCGGCCGCACGCGTCAACCCTCGCACGAGTAATTTTCGAGATGGGTGTTGGCAATCAAATTGAAAGTAGATTAAAGTCCGATTGACCAATTTGCATAATTGCGGGTTCTGCGGTTCTGTCCTTATACAGTGGAGGTAGCACCATTCTATCTTTTCCTCGATAACGAATACAAGCGTTCACCTCGTGAAAAATAAGACGAAAGAAAGAACTCGAATTTTCTAATTATATATGAAGAAAAGAAAGAATAAAAGTTAAAATATTAAGTCAAAATATTTAAAAAAGTTAAAATTATATAATGAAAGTTGAATCGAAAATTAAATAAAATAAAAATATAATTAAGCAAGCTTGCAAATTATAATTTAGAAAAATCTCTATTTCCCTTTTTAAAGAAAATCACCAGTAGTGATATACATTCGAGCGAGACGAGACGAGAAAATATCGATTCTGAAATTTAGGCTCAACAAAAACAAATAATTTACAATTTTCTCGTCTCGATGGGTCGATATTCTCGCTTCTCAAGATTTCCGAATTTTATCTTAAGACATTCAAAAATATCGACTATCTCGTTTCATTTATTTGAAATATTTATATAATCAAACAACACATTTATAACTGTCACAAAGAGACATAAAGATATAAAGAAAAATGTGTAATAATCCATGCAAAAAGCAATCGGTGAAATATCAAGTAAAAGGAGAACATAATTAATATGTGTGTATTTACCAGATTCTGTTTTTTAAAGTTTTTTTTTTAAATATTTAAATTCGATTTCTTTTAAATTTTACTTCTCATAAAACAATTATAATACTTTACTAACGTAAACATTATAAGAATAAACTAATTTTACTACATGTATTCTTTTTCGATTTTAACATCAATTTAATATATCAAATTTGATCGAACGTAATCAAAATTTTCAGACACACTGTTCACTATTTTAGGAGACAAAAAATTGCAGCTGTACGTTATTGTAAGTGAACTGATGGATCTTGGTTTTGTATAGAACCGTTCCGCGACGGAGAGGATGCGATTGTGATTATTATTACAGCCGAATGGCGCAGATGCGACGTGTCTGCCACCTGATCCTCCGAAGAAATCTATAGTACTCCAAAATGAACTCATCTTCAATTTATTCTGTGTTCCTAGAACACGTTTAAAATAAACATCATAATCATTTTCAAATAGAAACAAACTCTTTTCTCGAAAAATAAAAGTGTATATAATAAATAATTTTATAATATTTCCGCATCTCTCTTATAGTTACACTGAATATTTTAATTACACTACACTATTAAATCAATAGTGTCAAATTTAACCTAATGTGAGTCGCTACTGCTCCTACTAAATACAATACATAGTTATTTTTTATTAAAACGATAGTTAAATTTGACAATATATGGTATCAAATATAACCATTGTTTTAGTATAGATATGATTGAATAGGAGCAGTGACGACTCAAATTAAATTAAATTTGACACTTATAGATTTAACAGTATACGAATCATTGTCCAGTAGAATATTCGTAGTTTGTAAATAAAACAGCTCTTATTCATAAGACTCAGATTTTAAAACTCTATCATGTAGACAATATTCTAATTCTAAATTTAAAAGATATATAATGACATTTAAATTAAAAAAAAAAAAATATTTGTACATATATTTTTTTAATAGAATATAATAAGACGTGTCAATTTCATTTGTTCTTGACTGTAATAGATGACAGATGAAGTATAAATGTTATTAACTTATTATATCATATTTCATATGGGTATAAATATTTCTTTAAAAAAAAAACGTAATTGTATGATGTCAGAAATGATCTTTTACCTATTTGTATACACGATCGGGTTAAATATTATCGTCCGACGACAGGAATCCAGCGCCAGTTTTCCAAAACATTCAACGTCAGGTCGAATGATCGATAAAATGGTCCTTGTATCCGGGAGGCTGCGTAAAATACTGTCGCGTGAATTACGAAATGCGGCGGAATGGCGACGTGGCATCAGGTGTCGGGGCGGGTTCGCAGGGATGTTTCTCGATAGTCGATTGGAGAACGCTCGGGATGTTGTCAGGGATGCTGGGGATACGAGAGGACAAGGGAGGCTGTGGCGGAATCAAGGGCGTGGTTACGGGAGATGAAAATCCCTACCCGCCAGCTCTGTATAGCTCAAACTCACCCTTCTCTGGATCAGTTTTTCTGCCAGGGATGCTGTTGACCGTTCTCTCCCGACGATCTCGTCGAAGCCGGGAGATCGAGATGTTGTCAGAAGTGTTCTTGTTGCTGCGGATAACAATCGACGTTGATCTAATCGCGATCCGGAGTCGATAAATGTACGAGTGATTTAGAAAAGTGAAATATTCTGAAGAATTTCCTTCTGTGTTAAGATTGATAGTAAAAAAAAGTGGATGAGATTTTGTGTGCGATTGTTTAATCGGTGAAAGAATTTAATTGAGAACAATAGAAAAGAGTGATCCGTTTCAAACCGGATGAGAAGAGAAAAAACGGAAACTTGTTTTTTATCTTGGAAAACTATGGTAAGTAAGACAAATGAACAAAAATATACATTAATTGTTACGTAAAAGTAGATAGTCTGTTGTGCAATAAGTAATTTTATTTTATGAAGATATTAGAAATATTACATGTAAGGATTTAAAACGATATTAAATTTATTATTATAATTTACACAATCAAATTTACAAAAATTTCTTATTAAATTATTGCAAAATTAATTTTTATTTATTTCAATATTGGACATAAATAAATTTCTTATTCTTATTTAATTTTCTGTTAATAATAAAAATTTTCTATTTAAGTTTTTATAATTATCATTAATTCTTTCAATATAAATATAGATTAAAATTAAGTTTTCTAAGAATTGGAATTATACACAAAGTGCGTATTTTTACAAAATTGAGTTTGCGTAAAATCCTACGGCGTAAAGTCGTAAAAATAAAAAAAATCCATAGGGAATCGTATCGATTTGATTGGATAGCAGTGCCATGATAAATATTAAAAGAAACGCCGAGAAGACTTGTCGCTCGAAATCTGGTGGTTTTCTTTAAAATATTAAAGAAAGAATCGGAGAAAAAGAGCGTGGTGAATGCTCATACAAATCGTCGGTTTACCATAAGAATCAGATCGGGCAGCAGTCGTTCGGAGTGGCTTTTCGTCAATACTTGATGAAGATCGAGCTACTTATGCGGAGCGCAAACTGCGTTTCACTTAATAATGCAACATCTTTCTCATAAATAGACTATTTCAAAACGACTGTTTCGGTGACACAATGGAATTCTACAGTATTAAAAATTTATATCTTTCATTTCTCTCTCTTTTGCCTATATACGAAAGTGTGAAGCGTTCTAATATAATATCTCTCTTTCTATTGGAGCTATTTTTGGCTTTATTCTCTTTTATGACTATAATTCTGTTACATAAGTTACGTTTGTGTGCTCAGCAAATATTTGGTCATCCAATTATCGCCGATCGAACCCCAATATCCTGAAAGGGTAAACTCTTTCATATTGCATTTTTTTCGTAGCTTTCGCAAATCCCCCAAAGTAAACGGTGCGAAAAATTTGATTGTTATTTTGCGTCTCTTAACAGTCGCTTTTTTAACAATCGTATTTACCAAATAAAATGTCATAAACATCTAAATATTTATAATTGTACACTTACAACCTGTGTCAGTTTCTCTTTAATTTTTTATTTATTCATTGGAGACTTTATTTGATTTATTCATCTAGATATTTATGTAAATTAAACTTAATATGTATATGAGTTAAACTTTAAATTGCACAGAAAACATTAAAGTCAATATTAATTAATACTTTATAATTTATAATTAATTTTAACAAATTGTTTTTTTTTACGAAGTAGTTAATTTTTATGGATCAAAAGTATCGAGACACTAAACAGTTTTTAAATTAAAGTGGAGAGTAAAGTAATTACAAACATGGGATAAATGCGAACGATATTATTGCAATACATATATTAGAATGATGATAAATACTTATTTCTCGTATCCAGTAATGTGATTAATGCCGCATTATAACACATGATTATGTCATATTTTTGATTGTTTTAATGTAGAGGAGAATGGAAAAAATTGCCTAAAAAAAGTTAAATAAAGTCGATTATTTGTTAATTATAGAAATTTTTATTTAAAGGCTATAATGACTTTAAACTATATTAACTTTTTCATTTTTTAAAATTATCAATATAATATAAATCATAATTTTTAATCAAATCCAATTCGGCACTCGAATAGTAAGGATATATCTATTTCTTATTTAAAATTACAGTTCATATTAATAATATGTAATTGTAGTTCAACGTTAAATGACTGGAGTATATTTTAAATAAAAATTTTTATGATTGATAAATAATCTCCATAAATTATTTGTTAAGAAAGCAAATTGATCAGATGATATATTCCTAAAGTAGAATTATGAAACAGCGTTATATAATATATCGTTGGAATTTATGTTACAACAAAATTAAATTCTCGTAACGTTATCCACGTTTTTTTGTTTTCCGATTGACAATTATCGTAATTATAATTACAGTTGCGTTCTACGAGAAGCAAGATAGTAATGCTTTACGACGTGAATCTACGTCCAGGGCAAAGGTGAGGAGATAATTTTTCGCGGTAGATCAGACTGACCTCTTTGAAAGGAACATTTACGAAACACAGAGGCACATGAAGAGCTTCAATTGTGATTTTGCAAACGAGGATAGGACGGTTCCTATGGCGAATAGCGGCCACGGGGTCGCCGTTAACGGTGTAGGAGCCCCTGGTTCGGGCACCTTGTCAAGGGAAGAAAGACGCAGGCGAAGAAGGGCTACCCAAAAGTATCGAACCGCACATGCCACACGGTAAGACCACGATAAGCGTAGAATCGATGTCTTTGCTGTAAAGGCAAACAAATATGAAAGGCAAACAAATATTGAAGAAATAAAACACTGAAATATCGCGAAGAAACTGCTTATAAGTTTTTATAATCGTAATACTTAAAAAATGATTTTCCGGAATTTTTAATGAAATTTAAAAAAATTCTTTACTAATTAAAACTGTTCTTTAATATTTATCATTCCCAATATTTCTCATAATTTACGCCTCTCCTCTGAGAGTTGATTAATTATTTATTAAAATTTGTTAAAAAAACTGTTCTTCATTTATTCTAATGGTGGATATAAATCTGCAACATATTTCTTGATATCTAAAGAAGTTTAAGTTAAAAGAAAGTTTAATCATCTCTCTCTCTCTCTCTCTCTCTCTCTTATTAGGATGATCTAATTATTCTTACCAATAACATTCATTTCGGATTTTTATTCAATCGATACACCTCTTGTGCTTTCATTGACATCACAAGTGTTTCGATATACTGCGCTTTTTTATATCCTATTGAAAAACGGAAATCTAAAGAAATTTAATTTTGAAAATTCAGTAATATATTAATATGTGTTTATATATGAAGGAATTCTTTATATAAAGAAAAGATTGCTGCTTAAAATGGATAATATTTATCTCGTTAGGGGCGTTCAACTTGGCGTTTGCGGAATTGCGAAAGTTGCTGCCGACATTGCCGCCGGACAAAAAGCTTTCGAAAATTGAGATTCTTCGGCTGGCAATCTGCTATATCGCTTATCTGAATCACGTACTCCAAGCTTGAACTTGCGTATTTCAACGAGCAGAGATAGAAAACTTGAAAAACTGTGATGATTTCATCATCATCATCATCATTACAAGCTGACTGCGAATTGACTTATTGACCGTTTTTCTAAACTTAAGAAACGTTATCATAAACATCGTTTACATCTACATTTATTACTTTTAAAATAAATAATAAAATAATTTTTTTTGGGCAAGCCTTTGGGATAAATTATTTTTGTTATTTTCGATTTCTGACTAAAAATTAAACAATTTTCAATCGATTAACACAAACATTTGAACAGTAGATAATAGAAGAAACATGCTATTGCTCGTATATTCAATAATTGTTGAAGAGTGTCGCTAAGTTGCGTTAACTGTGCAGAGTTACATCGTTTATTGTGTGCGATATATCCGACGATATTCTCGAATCTATCCGATTCCTGGATTAGTAGGCCACTTCGGGACAATGGAAGGACTTCCCATGGGACTGCTATCCCTCCGCGTTTCTTCAAATTCTCCTTCTACCCTTGATAGTCATTGTTCGACTGCGTATTCGATCGTTGTCGATTATACGATGTACGAGCTTAAGTGAAAAAGAATGGAATTGCCGACGAGGAGGCCAACTTCACGGATCGTCGCCTCGCGCCTCTCGTTTCCCGGTTCTCTGCAAATTGTGTGACTCGATCCGCTTGGAGATCTGCGCGTGATTGATTGTCCGTGCGAACTAAACTGGCTTTTCTGTGAAAAAAAAAAAACGCAAATGAATTAGAATGGAAGAAACTCATTTCTGTGGAATTAAATACCTAATCTTCAAAATGGGTTTTAAATTGTAGATTCATTTTATTGTTATTTCATTTTTATCAACTTTTTAACATTTTTCAACAACTAACAATAAGATTAATACATCAAAAAATTATATTATTTTTATAATTCTGTACACAATATAGTGGAAGTTTTTATTATTTTAATGTAATTTAATCCCAAATGAATGAAATAAAATAAAAACATGCATATACTGAACGAAAATGTTTGCAACATTGTTTTCAATGAAATTCTTTAATTTGTTTTTTGAAGATTAAATATAATTAGCTAAGCCACTTAGATTTTTTTATTTTTATTGTACAAGAATTAGCATTTTATAAGTGATCTTATATAAATGACTTTATATAAGCAACTTTTTATAAGTATAATCTTATGATCATATGAGTTCTTTTATCAAATATGTAAAGAGATAGGTAGTATAAAAAAAATATGTGACAATGACAATGTTAATACAAATAAATCTTATCATAAAAAAGTTTATTTTTATGTGCGTTTATTTTGCGGATAAAACAATTAAGAAACAATTGATGAAGCAAATATAGTTAGGCAGTTTATTAATTTATTTGCTATAAACATCTATTTTATAATTATCAGTTTCATAAATAAATGTCGATTATAAATAAAATTTCTGCTTTTACTTTAATTTTATAGCACACTGTAAAAAATCCTACGATGCGATAATCAAGAGTATTAATCCAACATGGCCTGTTAAGACATTTCATGACAAACAATTTCTGTTATTCCACTATAAAGTAAAGTCGTTAATACTGTATAAATGAAATACATGTTCCTTAAATATTATATAGAGAAGTTTGATCGTTGACACGCGCACCGGATGACATTAACGTTCACTGCGTGGTACTCAGTATGCGTAATGTATAATTAATAATCAATTATGACTTGTGACTGTATTATATATACTGTATTATATATTTAACAAAAAATAAATTACAAGCAAGAACAATTTCCATACTTGTCTTTAATTTATTGCAGTCTCCTGACTTTTCTTCCATCTTTACATTACTCACTATTTTCCATGAATAATTCTCTCAAGGTAACGTAAAAAATTATCCAGTTAGGGAATATAACAGTTTATACGTAAAAATTACAATGTTTTTGTAAAGAAAATAGCATATTCTAATCGAATATTTCGTCAATAAATTTTTGAATTTGTTAAGCCATATGTAATGCATAAGTCTATTGACCTGTCGTCTTCACTTGCATATCTATGTGCATTTGTACTTAGCAATGACTATGAGTCATCTTTCTTAAATTAAACAATGTGTTGTTGCAGATCATGGGTAGCATATTATAGTGTTAATTGCATTAATAAAATATATATATAATAAAAATATATATATAATAAAAATATATATAATAAAAAGCGATCCCTGCGCGCATGTGTATATAATAAATTACTTATTGCTTCACAGGCACTTTTTTTATGTATATAGTTTGTCTTCCAACAAGCGACATAGTGCGACACAATGATCATGTCATTTTTGTTTAATATTGGCAAACAACAAGGATGTAATGATTCATTGAGTCATACCATGTCATTTGTGTCTTGGAGAGAATATTATATCTACATAAAAAAAGTAATATATGATTTCTTAAAGACTACCATGGGGGCTCATTTATGTACGTTCATTTATCCGTGTTCTTCTAATAATCGTTATGTTTCTTCATTTATCAAAGATGGATTATTAACTTTCAAATTGCAAGACACCGAGTAGAGCAAGTAGAGCGAAGGAAAACAAGAATCACACCATTGTCTCATCTAACATAATCATTAACTATTCTCGCTTAAATTGTAAACTATAAAAAAATTGAGTAATATTTATATGTGCGTGATTAATACTTTTTTGGAAAATTAGCATGAAATTGTGAAAAAAAATTACTTCGTTTTTGAAAGATATTCTATTAATATATGTTTTAGATATTCAATTATAACTGAAGACCAAAAACGAGAAGATGAAGCTATTTGCGTGTCCAAAATACTTTTCCGAAGCGATAGCATTAGTGACAAATCTCAATTGCTTTTTGGGACTTCGTATTTTCGAGTATCCTCGTGGTCATCCAAGATCTATACTCAGCCTAATCTATTTTTTGTTTATGTTCGGTATATATTACAGTGGCACGAGCAATATGGAAGAAAAATACTATTCAAACATTAGACTGATGAAGCTAGAATACGTTCTGTACAACATATTGAGATACATCCATGTTTTGTCTGTGATTCTTAATATGCTGTTGGGTTGGTGGCATACAAAGGTGAGCAAACGAAACAGTATGTGATGTATATTATAAGCAGTTTTTACACCAACTTATTCATGATTTCTCATATAATTTCTCATATAATTTACAAGCTTTATAATATAATTAAAATAAAATAGTTTTAAAATATAGATATATGCAAGTTATAATATTCTTTTATTACAAATTAACACATGTAGAAATTCAAAGCTTGTCACAAAAAGATCTTCGAAATCGATGAAACATTGCGACAGCTTGGATTATCAGGAAATTATGACAGAATATATTTCATGACAATTGGAATGATAACCGTCTGGATTACAGGCTCTTTCATTTTAAGCATCGTAGGTTTTATTCATTTAAAAATACATACAGACATGTATACTGCAGTTTTTATTATATTGTGTTCTACGTATTCGTTGACTGTCAACTCTATTAATGTTTATGAATTCTATCTATTTGTAAGGTATGTAAATTGACCTTCTAAATAATCCAGAAATTTACGTACATATATTTATTAGATTTACTCACTAATTATTATATAAAATATTAATAATTTTTATTGCTTCTGTTTAACATAACTTACATATTGCATAACGTTGATAATTAATATTATAGTCTTGTCTATAAGTACCTATATAAAAGAATCTATTTATAAAACTCCTATAAATTGATGTAAATGTTCTCACAAAAAGTAAATTAAAACATAGTTTTATTGAACAATAATGTTTGCTTTTATAATAAATTAATATTTTGTTTGTCCTCTGTCTTCTTTAGCATTCATTATTATAAAATTGAATTCTGTAATACGTATAACTTAAGGTCATATATGTTAGTGTATAATTTCCTCTATAATTTTATTTTATGATGTTAACCAATGGATTCTAATATAACGTGTTGTTACAACAACGCAGGTGTTTTCAAATAAAATTTAAATTAATCAACCGACTCTTGTGTGAGACTTTAACAAATTTATCAACAAATAAGATAAAATTAGACATTTTTGAATTGAAAGATTATGTTGGCAAAATTATGAATACTGAACAACAGAAGCATCTTTTTTTCTCGACAATGATATTTCGACGGCGTCGGCGGCTGCAATCTCGAATAAATGTTTTGGAGTTAAAAAAGCAAGATCAGGTCGTATCTCAAATTGAATCTTATTTTCCATCGCAATTCAAAAATCAATTTCAAAGTAAACTCAAAAATCAATCTCAAAGATGCAATCATTCGATAATAAAATGTCCAGAACGTAAACGTCTATTACAAATAATCAAGTGAGTATCGAGATGATTTATGAAGTAGGTATATTGTTATAAAATAAATCTTATAAAAAAGATATATTTGAAACAGACATTGCATTAAATTTTATGAAATTTTTCCGAAATAAAGATTCAAAGTCTATCAATTTGGCCATTAATATGATATTCATAATTTATAATTTTCTTTAAAATGCTTGAGAGACATATATTTAAGTTAGATTTTTTAAAAGCTTTTTAAGAAAAGAAAATTTCTTCTTCAAATGATAATATTTTTAATTATATTTTTGATTTTGTTCTTAAGACATGTGCATCTGGAATTATGTAAAGTATCGAAAATAGTATGCACTATCTTTGGAGTACAGATAGCTTGGGAAATAGGAGTAATTATCATGTATCTGTCTGGAGCTTTTTATAATTTATTTATTCGATACGTTATGTATCAGCACAAAGTTAAAGATGTCCCAGCTCAGACAGCTTTAACGTTGTCAATGACTCTTCTGTGCATTTTCAAAATTGTTTTTATAAGTCGTACTTGCAAGAATGCGGCCAATGAGGTAATTTATCTCATCTATCATTGTGTCTACAATTATAAGATTTATAATTAAGTTAATATTTATTTGTAGGTTGTAGTGAAATAGAACCATCGAAATTATTCATGCGATTTATGGATGCAACGCAGATACTGATATGCAGGAAGAGGTTTGTTTACTGTTATATTAAATATATTATTAAATATATAAAAAACCCACAAAAAGAAA